GCTTTGTATTGGAAAGTATCTTTGATTGGCAATCACTTTTTTAATCGGATCAATGTGTCTAAAAGGTTGGGATATTCTTGGAATTAATTCAAGAATATTAGGAATCCTGATAAAGTGATTGTGAATATCCTTCTTGGAGTTCACGTGAGTTTTATACATAATAGGATCATATCATTGATTTTATGTCAAGCATTCAGTTGTGGAGATTTTGTTTTGAACGTAGGTTTTCTTCCTTGTGAAGAAAACCACTTATATAACGAGGCTTTGCTTCTTTCTTCATGGTGTTTTAATGATCATATTTTCAGTCCATAAACTTGGAAAGTTGAATTTTTATTTAAGATAAACCATCAAGTGTTCCGAGTTTAGAGTAGGATTTCATTTGTTAAATCTCATGCAATTTCTTTTGAGTTGTAATAGGTGTTTTGTCTAGGAAATGCCAAAGGGGGAGATTGTTAGTATGAAATTGTGTTGGCATTTCCTAGAACTTAGTATTGGTTTGGAAGTGTCATTTAGCTATAGGGTTGAAGCAAAATTGCTATATCTGATTTCCAGAAACTACAGGATTGAAACAGCTCAGCAAATCCCCGAATTCCAGAATTGTGACTTAACATGTATGAGCCATTTGATCTGAAAGGTAAGACATGTCATTTTTTATGCACTCATACTAGGAATGTTTTTTGGAATATAATATGATTTTATTTCCTCGTTCTTCCTTGATTTTAATCAATTATAATCCTTTAGGAGTGCATCTCATTTAGGCATATTTTTCAATATCTTTTGTTTATTCCTTGTTTCCTTTTATTATTAAATTCTTCTTGTCTCTCAAGTATCTTTGATTTTGTATCACGTTTTCGCTACTTGGAAATCATGTTTCAATCATATCACAATATCAAGGGATCAAGATACCCTTAATAGTTGACTAGGCATATAAGGATTCATTTGATGTTGTGATTGATTAAAATCTTCCTTTCTTAAATATCTCCTTTCCTATTGGTTGAACTACATGTGAGCAATCTTTAGAATAGGAAAGATACCTTCGTGATTTTCTGTCAAGCCTTAGAAATTGGAAATTTGGTTTTCAACATGTTTTCTTTCTTGTAAAGAAGAAGTCTATAAAATAAGACCTTTGTGTTTCTTGTTTTTCAGAGCTTTCACGATCATATTTTCAGTCCATAAACTTTGAAAATGTGAGTTTTTATTTGAGATAAATCATCAAGTGTTCCATGTTTACTTGGTGATTTATCAAACACTTTTATCATTCATATTACATTCATTTGCATATGTTTGGTGACTCATACGGTTGAGGGCACCAAGACCGTTGTGGCGGTTTTTCTTCGGTGAGCTTGAATCAATCATGACCAGTATCGGATTCAACATAAGGAGAGTTGGAAGAACTCCAGCGAGCTTGAAGCAATCATGACCAGTATTGCGTTCAACATAAGAAGTGTCGAAAGATCATCCCGTGACAGAAGTTGAGTTACTAAGAAGTCGGTAAACATTATCTAGAATGTGTCTAGGATAAGTGTGTGGGTACTTATTGTAATCATCGTTCTATAGTGGATTTGTTTTGGACTGAGGAGTCCCGTGGATTTTCCTCAGAGGTGGGTTTTACCACGAAAAATACTTTCTATGTTTTTCTCTTCTTTTATGTTCTGAACTATACAAGATTGATACATCGTATATCGTAATACTCTTGACTACTCAAAACGCAGACTTTACGCTTTTGGTGTTTTAAGCCATCCTATAGGTTTTCAATATGATGTAGGGTGAATAGTATTATTGATATTGCTCCGTGGATATTATTTGACGTTGGATGAATATTATTATTCATGGGATTAAACTTGAAATATTTTTGTTATTATTTGTATTACTATTTTGCAGAGTTTGATAATGTTTGAATTGCATTACATATGCATCATAATTATGGCCGTGTGTTGAGTCGGTGTGTGTGTGGGGGGGTTGTTTAAGGTATATCTAAGGGGGTGGGAGAAGACTTTAGATATATCTGAGTTTTAAAAAAAAATTGTGGAATATATTCAGGTGACGGGAGCAGGGCTTGAATTTATTAAGGTGATGGGAGCAGAGCCTCTAATGAAAAGTGAAAGTTGAGAAATTCGTAAACAAAAGAAAGATGGGTTAAGGCAAGGATGGGTACTACTTCATATTTTAGGGTATTCGGAGCCACAGTGGTAAAATGCATGGTATGGGACATGCAAGTTTGTTGCCCTAAGGTATGAATTAGTGGGATTAGAAGGGAGTGAGTTTATGGCATCACTGCATATGCAAATTTATTTATCTTGTCTGATTGCATAATTTATATATCTTGTGTTGTTTGATGCATGACACTTTGATTAACTATGATAGCTGACCTTAAGGGGTTTGACGGTACTTTACTGGGCATTAGAATACTCGTACCCTAATAGATTGTGCAGGATTTAAGCTGAAGTTTGAGGAAGCGGGTTTCAACTAAGCTACTAGGCTTTTGTTGTTGATTTGTGTAAGTAGTCAACCGCTTAACAAAAATCTTAGTGTGTATTTAAGTACGAGCTACTGCGACTCTGATTTTGTAATGTTAAATAAATTTGTTTTATTTGTGGCTCTATTTCTCATCATATCATGGTTGTCGGATTTTATTCTTATGACTATGGAATGACTCGCACCATGATTCGGGAATATTCCTTATTTTCAAATCGGATCGTGACGTAACCTAATTAAGGTGATCAATCCAAGGAAGCAAACACATAATATATGATTAATTTAGTGAAAAATAATTTATCAACAACATTTAGAAATTCATAAACTCAAAGCATATCAAAACAAAAGTGTAATCACGTTTAGGGCTTCAACCTAATCCCTAGAAAATAAGAAATAACATTGAAACTAAGAAAATACAAGAAAGAAATAAAATGAAAGAAACTAAAAACAATGAGGAGAAAGAGAATTGCATCTTCAACCCCTTGGATCCTTGCCTCAAGGCTCCTCAAGGTTCTCTCCAATTATCATGTCATTTTTCCCTTTCTTTGTTTGCTCCTTGCTCTCCTCCTTCTTTAAAAATCAGAAATTGCAAAGTGTAGAGAATGATTCTTCCAGCTGCCCCTTAGCTACCAAGAGGTGTGGAAACAATTAGGAGGGGAGATGATACCAAAAGAGGGGTAAAAGAGACCCAAAATAGAATTTCAGAGTTAGTATCAATGCTGGATCGGTTTGTGAGGTAATACTTTTTCAATGGAGATAAGTTTCATGAAGAGCTTCACCGCATCCGAGTACTAGAACATTCTGATCTAAGGCCAAGAAGTTGACTTACGAAAATGAGAAAAAACATATTTTATATTTAATAATGCACTTTTAGCTCATATTTATTCGAACCAAGGAAAAATCTATAAAAAACACACAAAAAGGAAGAAAAAAAACTATAAAGTGTTAAGAACTAACTCAAAACATTGGCTAAATGGCATGATAAATCATGTATAAAAATGAATCCAACAACTGCCGAACCAATTACAATATAACAATTTGGTTCAGTTCGATTTTGACAAAAGTCAAGAAAATATAATTCCAAACCAAACCAATTTAAGACGATTTTGTTCAGTTTGGTTCGACCGGTTTGGGCCTAAGCCGAATTCTCTTTCCTTTTGCATTTTTTCAACATTGTTAGCCCACAACCAACAAATTTACAACTTGCTCCATACTTAAATATTTTTTATAGTACGAAACAATCCTAAAGCTCAACATTCCATAAAAACTTCAAATTTCAAAAACTAATTATAATATAGCTCAATTCAAATATCCATATATAGTTATTACCTAATTAGAGTATTAAATATGTAAAATATAATGTAAATAAATAAATATACACATAAATGGTCCGATTTGATTTAGGTCAGTTTACAAAAATTCAAAACCAAACCAAACTAAATCATATATGATCCGATTCGATTTTTAAATCATTTGACATTTTTTTGATCAAAATCAAACCAAACCGATAATTACGATTTAAATCAATCGATTTCATCGGTTCGGCCTAACAAAAATTACAACTAGACTAGCTGAAACAAAAATGGCCTAACATATTTAATAAACCCATTACCCAAATATCACAAAAAGTAGAATAGAAACTCCCAAAAAGGAATTCCAAAATTCCCACATGTATTTGACTAACCCTCTCTGACAGTTTAACCCGCATGTGTTTTTACTAAACCCTCTCTATCTGTTAGGTCTGTACTATTTTACTTTGACTCTTACTTCTGAAGCAATCAAAGTAAGAAATGTCGCTACACATTTTGTGCTTTAATCCTAATAATACCCATTCCCTAATTTGCACTTGTTTGTTTCATCTATTTTAATCAAATCAACAAATAAACAATGCAATTGTTCTTTTGTTCTTTTTTCATCCCCACGTGTTTGTTCCTCTTAGTGCGCACCACAAATTTGAAAATAAGGGCCTCGTTGTATTCGTTTGTTGTTTATGATTATCAAAATCGCAGGAACGGCCGTATTCTATGTAGCTACAATATTTATATTCTTGGTAAGAAAACGTGCCCTTCAATAACAATGATGTAAAAATTAATTACTCCTCTAATGTGACCGGGGTCATTCATTTCTTGGAAGCTAGCGGCATAGAAAAGAAAATAACACATGAGCTCTTACACGCACTGGTTTCCATTGGTAGGCAGGGGCGGCCCTACAGGGCAAGGTAGGCAACCGCCTACTCCATTGTTTTCCATAAAAAAATAACCTATATCTAATCATACATATTCCTACCCAGCCCGCCCATGTCAGCCCATGTGATGATCTGAAGTATTAGTGAAATGGACAATTTTATTGTTATTGACACATCACTTGTATATTTGTAAACTGTAATTTTTGTTTTCTTTTGACAAAAGTTACTCCAATATCAGAATCAAGTGCCGAAGAGGCAAGGCTTGGCGCATTTTCTATAAATGGCACAAGAGCAAAGTTGGCTTTCACCACACAGGTCTTGCTTATATTGGTAAAGAGAGATGGGTTCAATAGGAGAAGCAACCAAAAAACTACATGCGGTTTGTGTCCCTTACCCAGCTCAAGGCCATGTTAACCCCATGATGCAATTAGCCAAGCTTCTTCACTCAAGGGGCTTCCACATAACCTTTGTTAACACAGAGTTCAACCACAGGCGCCTAATCCGGTCCAAAGGCCCGGACTCCGTCAAGGGCTTGCCCGACTTCCAGTTCGAGACCATACCGGACGGGCTGCCTCCTTCAGATAAGGATGCAACCCAAGATGTTCCAGCCTTATGCGACTCCACCAGGAAAACCTGTCTAGGTCCATTCAAAGAGCTGGTCACTAAGATCAACTCCTCATCTCAAGTGCCACAAGTTACTTGTATAGTTGCAGATGGTATCACGGGATTTGGGAGGCAAGCTGCTCAGGAGTTAGGCATTCCGGAGGTCCAGTTTTGGACTGCCTCTGCTTGTGGCTTCGTGGGTTACTTGCAATACAGTGAGCTCGTCAAGCGAGGCATTGTTCCATTCAAAGGTATACTTCCTTAACTTAATTATTATGGACCCATTTAACCTTTAATCCGTTGCATATTTATTTTAGGCTTATGAACATTTTTAATTATTGTGTTTATATAAATTATCAAGACACACTTGACTTGAGGTTGAATCATTCAATCCCACGATAATATTCCAAGCACGTTTGCTTTTTGCTTTTTCAAAAGACTAATCTTTTAACTTCTTTCAAGATTATATATGTTCTACAATATAAATATTTTTAATCTATATACATTAATTCTTCTACAAGAAAAACATATATAAGGTATTAGTTTATGAGATACATAAACATGTTGAAAATCATTCACTGTTAATTTTGTATGCATGATAACATAGACATAATTCTTTGTTTAATATAACTTTCATTTTGACCACTTACACTCCTTTTTCAGTTATAAAATGGAGTGTAAGTGGACAAAATTGGAGTGGGGAAATCACCACTCT